CTGCTGCTGCTGCTGCGACGCTTTCTGTTTCAGCCTTCCTGTCTTGCCTCTTTTCTTACCCGCGTCCTCCGCCGCCTCCGCATCATCGTCGTCCTCGTCGTCGCTGCTGCAGTCATCCACGAACGCAGGGGACTTGGCGGAGTAGTACTGCGCCCGCACCAACTTCTGAAACGCCTCCGCGTTCCATCGGCCGCGATCGCTGCTAGTGCTACCACGTCCCTCGCCGGATTTCGCGGCAGAACTGGCGGAGGCGGCCGCTGCGTCGTTGCGGAAGAGACCGTACTCGTTGAGGACGTAGCCAAGCTTAATCGCCTCTGCCCGCATGACAACGTTGAAGTTCTTGCTGCCGGTGAAGTACAGCATCGCCGCGGGGTAGCACTCGGGCTCAACAAAGCGGATGTCAAGTCGCCGCGCGGGGTACAGCTTCGGGCTCGTCGCCCCAGCGTTGTAGTTGTAGCTCTTCAGCCGACTCACGCCCATGAACTTCGTTTGCCCCTGCGCGAGCGTCGCCTCTATGTAGCGCTCCTGCTGCAGCGCCGCCACGAAGGCTGCGAGTACCTCCTGCGGCGCCAGCACACCTTCGTTGCCGCCGCTGCTGCTGGTAGCCCTTGCATGCTTCCCTCGGCGCGCAGCCGCCTCCTTGACGTTGGTCTTGCGTGTGATAAGCACGTCAATGTCACCAGAGGTAGGCTGTCGGCGCCTGTAGCTGCCGCAGACGGAGAGCTCGTACCCCTTTCCCAAATACTTGCGCAGCCGCAGCTTCAGAAACGCCTCGTGCAGCCGCACCTCGTCGTGTGGGATGCGCTGTGTGATGTCACCGTGGTACTTCAACCCAAGCCGCTGCGCCTCGGTGAGGTGCAGGGCTGTAGCACCCTCAGTCGACGACGCCTTCTTCTTCACCGCTTTCTTGGCGCCGCCACTACTAGTACAACAACTACTACTACTACTATTCTCAGCCTCCTGCTCCTTCACACGCTGCTGCAACTCCGCCACCGACTTAAGGCCGTACTTCTTGTAGAACGTCACCGCCGTTCGGGGGCCGACGCCGTGCACCTGCGTCAGTTCCTGGATGGCGCGAATGATGGGTTTTGCTTGCAGGCTGTGCAGTTCGGCGAGATCGCCCGTTGAGAGTATTTCCACCATCTTCGCCTTGAGTTTGTCACCCACCGCTGGGGTCGCGTTCACGGCGTCGAGGAGTCGCTGGCGTTGTGCATCGTCCACGCCGGGGGGCATGATGTTCGGCGGGAGGTTCAGGAAGATGAAGTCGTCGCGCTTGAGGTTGTCCACGGCGATCTGGTACGACTGCGCCTTGTAACGCTCCTGTAGCGCGTTGTTGATCTCCGCTAGACGCTGGAAGATCTGCAAGACACGCTCACGATAGTCAGGCACGAAGCTAGACGCCGCTGAAATTGCCGCATCTGCCTTGGATGGGGCGGCTGGCTTGCTGCCACTGCTACTACTGTTGTTTTTGCTGATGCTATGTTGCGCAATCGCGCCACGCTGCAGCTTGCGTTGCCCCGCCGCTTCGTCCCTTGCTACTGCTGCTTGTTCCTCCGCACTCACCACATTGATCCCCTCTCTGTGGGCATGCGCCCCGCGTGAGATGGCAGCAGCAGCGGCTGCTGCTGCTGCCGGGGCCCTTTTCGCCTGGGCCCGTGGACCGCCAGACGCCACAGTGCGTTTCGCGACGCGCAGCATCAGCGTTGGACGCAGAAGCACAATCATCCTCGCAGCCGTTGCTGTTGCTCCTCTTCTTGCTGACGATACAAAACCAGCGGCACCAATCTCTCGTGGGTGACTGCAGGTCAGGAGACCAACAGCCCACCGGTGTATGGGTTGCGTGAATGCGTGTAATGAAATGGATGCGTGCGCGGATTATGCGCCACAGGTGCTTGCGCCTCCTATTTGCACGTCGTGGTCAAATATGCGTGCGTGTGTGTGTGTACAAGAGATAGAGAAGAAGGGAGAGAAATAGAGCGTGAGTGTTTGTGCGAGAGAAGACAGAAGGGAAGATGCACACGGAACGACTTTGTGGATGTATGCGCAGCTCGCATTGCAAAGGATAGGCGGGGATGGACATGGATGAATGATATTGGTGAATGCGAACGACGAAAGATCAGGCGGAAGTCACTGCTGCAATTGCTGCAGGCAGTGTCAGCCCCCTTCCCCCTAATAGACGCAATCCTCAACATCGCCATCATCGCTGTCTCACTTAGCCAGCAGTCTTTACACGAAGAGAGCAACCAACTGTCTCCATTAACTTTTTTTCTTCTTCTGCTCCCTCATCTCGCCTCTCTCCCCCACCACTGTATCACTCGCGTAATCGTTTCGTGGTGCCGACGCCCCACGACTCGTACTCTTCCAGCAGCTGCACGAACATGGGCGTCAGCCGCGCCGTTTCGCCACTCTCCAGCGACGCGAAGCTGAGGCGCATAAAGTCGAACCCAAAACACATCTTCCGCGCCCCAGCCGCCACTACCGCATCGGCACTGGATGTCTGCCCCTCCTGCTGTTGCTGTTGTTGTTCGTTCTCGCCGCCGCCCTCCTCCTCCTCCTCCCGCCGACGCCGGCGTCTGCCATGCAGGTCGACGTCCCTCCCATCAAGCTGGGACTTCATCAGCGCCGGCAGCTTTGGGTAGCGCTGCGAGAAGTGGTTGAGCACAACGTGCCGCGCCGCAACTGCAGCAGCGACGTGCAGTGCCTCGGAGAGCGTTGAGTGGCACTTCCGCACCGCCTCTTCCTCGCAGCCCTCGCCAAAGGTGGCCTCGTGCAGGCAGAGGAACAACTCTCCACCCTCATTTTGCTCTTCTTGTTGCTGCATTCCACTGTTGCAGCTCGCGCGGGTGAAATGGCGGCAGCGTTCAATGAGAAGCTGTGATGGGCGTGTGTCTCCCGAGAAGAGCAGCACGCGAGATGCGACGGTGCCTCCGCTCCCTGGTGGTGCAGGGAATCGGAGAAGCAGCGCGTGGGCGTTGGCGGGGTGGTGCACTGGGAACACCTCAGCCGCCCACAGCAGTGGGGACGATGCATGACTTTCCGCAGCAACTCCTGCTGCTGGTGTCGATGTTCCTGTCGCTGTGTCATTGTGTAAACGCGCGCACAGTGCATTGAGTCGTGGCAACAACACCGGTGCATCAGAAGCAAATCGTTTTTCCGCATCGCCTCTGCACCGCTCTGCGGGAATGATGTCGAATACGACTTCCTCCTGCAACCACTTCCGGTACGCAGCGCAGCAGCCCCACGTCTCCAGCAGGAACTCGTGCACCTCCTGCGGGCACACAACAAGGAGCGGCTCGGTTCTGATGCTGCTGCTGCTGCTGTCTTTGCTGTGCTCCGTGCCAGATGCTGCTAGCAGCACACGGTGGCGCAGCTCCAGCAGGCTCAGCAGCCCGAGGTGGTGGTCAGCGTGGGCGTGTGAGATGAACACAAATGCTAGGTCATGAACAAAGCGCTGCAGTGCTTCGCCACCCCACAACATCGCCAGCTGCCCCGCACTTCCCTCGCCAAAGTCCAGTACAACGATAGCGCGGCGAAGTGCTGTGCCTTGGCGCGGGTGGTACATCACTTCAAGATATGTCCCGCTCACGTTGCGGTACTTGCTTGGCACGGCAGATCCTGTTCCAAGAAACGTCAGCGCCCCACCACCATCGAGGTGCCACGCATCACCGCTACCGCCGTCGTTGTGGTCTTGTTGGCCATCAAAGGTTTTGCTGTTGTACAGCGAAGACGATGCGGAAACATCCGCAGATACGTCCTCTGAGCCCACAGTGTGCTGTTGTGTGCCCGCGATGATGGAGCGGAACCGCGCCGAAAGCATCGCCACGGCGGAGTTTGCTGTTGGGTAACGCAGCAGACCTGCCACATCCTGCCTCTTCGAACTGTTCTTGTTCTTGTTGTTCTTGTTGGGTTCACCAATACCGCTTGTGGTGGTGGAGGGCGACACCGCACCAGCAGTGGGGCCTGACGCCGTATCTTTCACACCGTCGGTAATGGCGGCAGCGGCACCTGCTGGTATCAGCTGGTGCTTCACCCCGTACGGCCACAGAGGGCCCTTTTCGTCAGCGCCATCATCTTCGCCCCCTGCAGCAGTAGTAGCACCAGCAGCAGGGAGGTGTTTTATTGGGAACTGCATTGCGGCAATGCTGTTGAGGTGGTAGCGGTGCGCGAGGGCCGTAGGAAAAGCGGAGAACTCCTGCTGCACAGCGGCACAGAAGTGGTGCGTCGTCGCCCTGCATTCGCTGCTGCTGCTGCTACTGCTGCAAGAAGAAGCACCGACATCCCGGCGGTAGCACCGCACCGCCTGCTGGCGAATCTCCCGCCGCACGTCTGTAAAGATGGAGTCCACGTAGCGCGACTGCGCTGCCGCGCCGCCCCTCACACTCAAGTCAAGGAAGAACTGTGCCGGCTGCACATGCACGGCATGCACCAGCGTCACCTTCCGCTCCCTCTGCGCAGCGCCATCGGACGCGGCGTGTGCGTCGCAGTACAGCAACGACGGCTGCCACTGAGCAAGAAGGCGTTGCAGCTCGCCCTGGCCGTCCATTTCTTTGGCCAAACTGTCAACCTTATCTTCTTGTTGCTGCTGCCCAATACTGGCGGACTCCTCGCGACCGAAGAGCGTCTGCATCGCGGCGGCCACATCGGCGCTGTCATCGCCGTCAAGCACGAGGGAGACGTACAATTGGCTGCTGCCTACCGTTGCCTGACGCACGCTGTGTGGGTGGATGTAGCGGCGCAGCGCACCACCAGCAACGGCCGTGCTGTCGTCGCCGACGACGGTCCACACACCCGTGCCCTGCTTTAGCTGGCCATACATCGGCCCTGGAGGCACGCCGAGCGCCTTTGCACGGCGCGGGTCGAAGCTCGCTGGGGGTGCGTGCACAATGGCGTAGCCGTACGTCTCCTCCGTCCCATCGCCGCGACCCGAGACGCGAAATCCCAGTAGCGCGCTTGTCGGGCTCAGCAGCAGTGCCAGCACAAAGAAAGACGGCAAGGCGGCGTGTGGCAGTGGCACTTCGCACACGTAATTCAACGGCAGTGGCGTCTCCCGTTGGCGCAGCGCCGGGCCAGCGCAGAGGTGCTGAAACGTCATGTGGCGGTAGGAGAAGTAATGCCGCCGCAGGGCGTCCAGCATTCCCTCCAGCCCTGCTGCCACTCCTGTGCTGCTGCTGCTGCTGGGGCCGAAGAAGTTGGCGTGGCGCACCCCCGCGTCGTTGACAGTGAAGAGCAGGCCCGGCATGCCCATCACTGCAGAGGGCGCCCAGCGCGTGAAGAAGAAGCCGCGGGTACGTGTGAGGCGCAAGTTCGCCTCTGCGCTGAACCGCTGCGTTCCCTCCGGGCAGTTGAAAAAGAGCAACTGACCGTCACTGCACACTGGCTTGGCTGCCGCTGCCGCAGCTGGTGTGGTCGTCGGTGCCGCCTCTTCGCTCGGGCTCCGCAGCGCTTCGTGCTGCACATGGCCGCTGAAGCAGCAGCTGCCACAGCTGCCAGGCACGTCTGTGCCGACAAGTTGAATGCAGTCGGCCGACATTCTGCAGCACTGCCGCCGTTTCTTTTCCTTGATTTCTTCCCTGTTCGCGCGAGGCAACGCAGTGACACACACGCATACAAACATACAGAATAAATGGGGGAAAAGGGAGAGAGTGCCGCTCACGTGTGCCTACGCACCAAGGACGAGGAGGCAGACATGAGAAGATGCACGCCCAGCGTGGGGGGTTGAGCACACGGACACAAACGCGCACCGCGGAAGGGAGATGTGACGCAGCAGCCGTACGAATCATCCAGCCAAACCATTCATCCTATTCGCAGCAGAAAACGAGCAAAAGCAATACAGAAAAGGGCTGTTATCTCATCATCACTCCTTCTTTGGCTCATGTGCGCTACTGTCCTTCGTTTCCTTTGCATCATCCTTCTTCTGCTGTTGCTGCTTCCCGTCCTCTACGCCCTCCCGTGAAGTGAGGAGGAGCCCCTCTGCGTTCGTGGCAACCCACGACGGCAGCAGCACCTCCGCGTTCACCACCAGCCGCGGCAGCAGCAGCAGCTTGAGGAACACCGCCATGAGTCGGAACGCCATCTCTTGCGGCACGCGTGGCACGTGCCGCGTCATGAGAATGAGCGTCTGGGCGACTCTGTCCCATGTAGGGTAGTACTGCACCGGCTTGCGGTAGAAGCTGCGGCGCGCCCCCCAGAAGAGCTGCTCGTCGCCGTGCAGCGCCTCCGCGTCGATGACGCGTTCGTAGTTGCCGTCACCGACCCGCTTCTGCACCGCTGGGCGGTACTCGACGGCGACAGCGGCGCGCGGCACGTGGCGGCCGCCACGGCGTGTGAGAAAGCTCCTGTGCACGACGCGTAGCCGCGAGAGTGACGATGCGGGGAGCGCCGACATGCCGCGCCGCCACCACAACTTCCTCCTATTCTGACTATTTGTGTAGATAAATCTACAAATAGAACAATAATAATAATAATAACAATTACTACTGTTATTATTATTATTATTATTATATATATATACAATGTGGCTGAGTGTGTGCTGCGCTGTTCGCTCTCCCAGTCCAATCGCCCTGCATGTGGATAAAGACGCAGACAGAGAATGCAGAATTATCAACAACAACAACAGTAACAGCTGTAGTAGTAGTAGTAGTAGTAGTTATTCCACGGCACACGCCCCACGGATGAAGACCCAAGGCAGGGAGATGCACTGAGTCAGCGGAGTGGTCATCAACCCCAGGTAATTTGGGACTGCAGCAGCACAACAAGGCCGCCTTTTTACGTTCTCTGGTACCGCTCTCTTTGGGATAACCCCAAATACGTAGTAGCGTCTCATCAAGTAGCAGCGGCAGCAATAACAAATCTCTTTATTCCCACTTCAACTTCACATTTCTTTTTTTTTTTTT